TCTTAGACGAGTCGCTGGCCTTACGCGTCTCGACATGGTCCGGAACAGTGACATCCGGAAGAGCCTTGGTGTACAGTCTCACCTTCTCCAGATTGAGCAGTCACAGCTGCGATGGCTTGGGCATGTGTTGCGAATGCCTTCAGAAAGGAAAGTGAAACAACTATTACTTGTCCAGCAGTCCAGCAGAAAGCCAAGAGCAAGGACAAGATTAACCTGAGGCAGGTAATTGAAGGAGTCTTTTCTAGAATCCGGTTGTTTTTTGCCAAAGTTGAGACGCTAACACAGGATTAGGATCGTTTGAAACTCAGACTGACGCTCCTGCCTCGGCGATCCAAGGGAAGAAACAGTCATGGAAAATGAAAGTGTCTGCTGAGAAAACAGTTAATTAACCTCCGTTCTGGATCCTTGGTTCAAGGCAACAATTTACAAAGGATATTGTAAACTCTTTTACTCACCGTCGCGCACTAGCCTTATTGTCAATGCCAGTCAGTCTGCTTTGATGACCGCTTATGCTTTAGAGTCGCGTAGGTGCATTTATAGCCTGGTTATATTACACAAATTAAACATCACGATTTTTTTTTAAATTAAACAAATTATTCAAATTAATCATTACGAATTTGAGTGATAATAACGCTTGTTTATTTAATTTTCCCGGACAAGCTGGCTGATGACATTTCAGGCTACTCAGACTACGCGAGTCGTACATTTGTTACATGGTCAGATGTGGAAGGATTCTCTGATTAATTTTCATGGGTTTTTCTCTCCTTTTCAGCAGATATGACGGTTGTTAAATTAAAGGAATATCCCAGTAAGAAAACGCACTGAACGGTGGTATAATTTTTTGTTTTCCCATTCTTTAGAATTGATAGATGCCCCTGAACGTTGTTATCACGTGTTCTTTTAGTTTCCCCTACGTAGATCTTGACGGAGTCGTTGCAATCGATCTACGTTTCTCTCGAGCTGATGAAATTTTCGGTAATTTGTGATTCTGACGAACAGTTCATTTAGTAATAGATTCAAAATCTTTCATTCTTAAAATACTGTTGGATCGAATTATTGAGCTTAGGAATGAAGAAAATGACTACGGTGGAATTGTTGCTATTGTTAAGCTTATTTTTAACGCTAAGAAGAGGTTTCAATAAATTCTTTCATACAATTTCTCACCTGTTGCCGTTTCACCATAAGAAATTTTGTAGACGATCCATTTCTGCTTGACAAACAAAATCGATTGTGCATTCTGAAAGAAACACAAGTCTCGTGTTATTTGCAATATCTTTAAAAATTGACTTAGAGGCTCAATACTTTGGGTGTTGGTACCTTCTAGATTGCTATTTTTTCGATAAACTGCAAAATCAAACGGCTTTTACTTTTTAACTTCTTGTCCAGGATGCTGATTTGGCCTTTATTTTCTTTCATAGTATATTTGATCCTTCTGGTATAATGAATTCTTGTTATGATATATTTAAACATATGCACGCTGTCAAGGAAACAACTAACTTTAAATAACCGGAAGAAGTCAGCCAGGACATTTTTGCAGCACTAATGTTTCAATATGATCCATATATAGATCTGCTAGCACTACGTTGACAGGTGGTCCCATTTGAATGCCCATCTCTGACGGTAAGTAGAATGTTCAAAGGCTAAGATCAGACTTTTAAAACCACTTTAAATGTTAAGAGCAAATCTTCCACTTAATATTTGTTGAAAATCCTTAGTTCGTTTTGCCATTTCTCCGTAGTGCTATGCGTTACGTATGAAGGAACTTCGCGCATAGGCATGTTACATTGAGATTATCGAACAATACCGTTACGTGGAAAGCGTCAACTGATATTCTCCTGACGCTACTTTCTTCGGTTTTTCGAATGTCATCACTTTTGATAAGGAGACAACAAACATCGCCTATTAATTAAAGAATCTGTACACACGCTGACTAGCAAAAATCGGCTATGTAACGAAAGTACCATCCCATATAGTTGGAGTCAGCTGGAATGTCATCACTCGCTTGTCCGGAAGAAATAATGAAACAAGCATCATTATCATTCAAACTCTTTCCATAAATATCGCGCTATTGTATTTCAGTAATATAACTCGGATGAAACGCTTCGATGAGTAAACGAATGTACATCATCCTTTTTAAGCTGTTGCCTTGAATTATGAATCAAGAATCGGCTATCAATAGCTGCATGTCATTGTTTGGCTTTAGCTGCTTCAAGAAAGTTATGCGGACGATGTAATAAATAAGATGCGACGCCTAGTACGAAAGCACGTTTCTATGACGTATGCACTTCTAAATCCAATTTATGACCTAGAAGCAAGTCGATCCCATTGTAAAAGGCTGGATGCAGCTGAAATGGCAATATTTTGACAGGTGATCACACTAATTCCTTCTGTCAATGGAAGAAATCAGGAAGCAACTTGCATATTTACTGCGATGGTTAAAAACTAGACGTCTGAAATAACTGGTCCATCATTGGCTCATCGATGATAACAGGCCGTCAGAAAGTTCTAAGTGCCAATATTTAGAACAGAATACTGCAGGTCACACTGTGACAAAGCGACTGTGTACCATCAAGTAAAATATTCATTCAAGGAATCTCCAGTTTCAGGCGTTCAAGAAACGGAGAAAACGAAAGCCACGCATAGCATTTGGTGCCAGTCTCATTGCCGACGAATGATTTTAATCAGAGAGAAATACCTTTGTTTACTTTGTCAAAAAGTGATTCAAAGATTCGTGAAACCGACTGATTTAGACCAAGGACCAAGGCGAAATGTTTTAAAGACGACAGACAATGAGTCGATTTTACATCGTGTTTGCTTGATAGGCGGTGTTGAAATCATTGACATTATGACTTGCAAAAGAGCTTACTGTAAGAAATAAGTACGTGTTTTTCAGCCGGATTTTCAATGCAATATTTTTTCTGTACGATAGGCCTTTCTGTACGATAGGCCTACGAGAGGCCTTTCGAAAATTATATCTGTTCGAACTTATGCTATTACTACTTATCAGCGTCATATGTGAGAAAATTTAAAGCACGACCCGCTTTGCATCGAAATACGCCCGACAAACTCTCGCAGTGCATTTTTTGAGTGCTAACTGTATATCTGAGCACCTGTTTTGTTAACTTGGAATCAAACATGAAGTTATTCACGTGCTTTTCCGCTCTTGAAAGCTCCAACTTTCTAGCAACAACTGCTACAACTAGCGAAGAAGTTGCCATCCCCTATAACAGTGGAAAAAGTTAGAATGCCTTGCACAGTTTCGACATACCACAACACCGCAAAGAACAGAAATGGTTCGGCCACAGTAGGTGCTAGGAACGATATCCCCGTATCCAACAGTCAGCGACGTTATAGCGATCAGCCACAATGAATTCAGATAGTTTTGATGCTTCTTCGAATCATCCATTGCATACGATAATTCCGCAACGCGGTTCCTAATCATGCAAACGTTACGTTTTTCTGAACAGACACTAAAAGGTCAATCTGAAAGGGCAATAAAGAAACACATTTATGGCTAAATACTGCCATTTAAAAATCAAATAGAGGATTATTCTAATTAAGAATACTGCCGGTTTTTAAACTTATGATGAAGGAACTCGAAATTACACTCACATATTTCTCGCTGTTGCTTCCTTCCAGTCAGCATAGATTCGTATATTTCGAACCTAGCTAAAAACTTGTAGAGCCATATTTGAGTAAGATATAAATTTATACAATACTATTACATGGGAGACAGAAAAATTACTTTCTTAGTAGAACCACAAGAAATATGGTCCTGCTTTGAACCGCGTACGAAATTGTTTGATTACTTACAGAACCTGAAATTATTGCACCTTAGATCTTAGTCCAATGAAACTATCTGTGTGACAGTTAGATGGAGACCATTGGAAAAGTCTCCTGAACCAGCTGCCAAAATGACCCAAAATGAATAATTCCCCACGGAACATGCATAGGCGGATGAATTTTTAAGAATTGTTTGAATTAAGCGTAGTTTCATTTTGTCTTTAAATTAACCGCTGCCGGCTGAAACTCAGGCTCAAATTTAACAGCAATAATTTGCCACCACTCGGTGGCTTTCTGTTACACTCAAAATAATGAGTTCACGTAAATTTTGAATGAAAGCTCTCCTAAAACGATATTCAATTTGTGGTGCTTTAATTACGGTTCATCTAATTTACTCTGCAGACTAATCAGTTTATCACGTCCGTGGATCGATCGCACTTATGCGTAATCATCATCATGCGATGCTAGTATTTGTCCAGTGTCCCTAGCTGTTGGCCAGCTGGCTCGTTCCTGGGTAGCGGATTGATGAACGACCTCGACGTTAGTTGCGACAAATGGGCAGTCTCGGACAAATGGATGTGAGACAACGATGGCGTGACTGGGTTCGAGTTCGATAAGTTCGATCCTCAGAGGAAAAATCACAGTGTCTAATGTCAATCTCATGTCGAGATGAAAGCGACCCATCACTTTGAATAAAAGACTGCCAATGCCATCGATGCCTTGCTGTTAAGTGTCGATTCGTCAAAGACCAGAGAAGACAAATTCGATTAAAAAAGCGAAAGGAATTAAAGACTCTTCTGAATGAAATTCTTCAGGCCATTACCAACCCGCTGGTGACGGAACTTCATGCTCTATGACAGTACGAATAAATGAGCCGCAGTACTCCGCGCGTCTCTTAACCCATTCTACGGCAGCAGTTCAGTACTCGACTGACAAGTGGCTGCTACGAATTCGAGGTGAAGGGCCCCAATGGGATCCGCGGACCTGAACTTCCCTTGCCAATTGCACGCACAAGTGCATAACCTGGCAAGAAATGAGATATTTGACCAACTAGTGCATGAAATGTCAGGGATGGCCTACGAGACACGACGAAGAAGGGAGACAGATGGTGTCTGAAAAGACTAGGACGAGGAGAGGACGCGAAGAACAGAGAAATAATCAGACTTGTAGACAACATTAAAATTGCTTCTCAAAATCGCCTCCTGCTACATGAAGTTACCAAATACTGGGCGTTAGGTGCACCTATGGAACAAGAGGAAAATAATGATCCTTTAAACTTATGCTTCCACAACTACAGATAAGGTGGAGGGAGTGCAAGAATTCTCTCAAGAACTGGAATAGACATTCTTTGCAAAGCAAACGTATATCTTCAAATGAGGAATGGCCAGTAATAAGTTCGTCGGTAGATATGGTACTAGAAAACGATATTAACTAGGAGACTGGCTGGTGGCCATAGCATAGACGAAGCGTCTGGTATTCGGCAACACCTGGTTCACCAAGACCAACAGGAGGATGACGTGCATCGCGCCCAACGTGGCGACGAAGAGCGAGATTAATGTTGTCCTGCTCGATAAAAGCCGCATCATCAGAAGCTTTGCAGTAACGCCGTCACTTAACTTCGGCAGTGGCCATAAACTGATGTGGGTCAGGTTAATCTGAAGGGAAGATCATGACGAAAGACTGCAGATAGCAGATTGTAGACACCGATCGAAGGTAATTGTCGATGCGGTGCTCGAAGCAAGGACAATCGCCTTAAAGACGGTAGCGACGATGACTACACGAAGTTCGCCGAGAAACTGAGACGCGGTGTAAAGTCAACCGAAGTGGCAACAGCAGAGAGGGAAAGGAAGGTCTAACGAAACGCAGAAAGATGAAGAGAGGTGGATCCAACACGGTGGACATACTCTCTTCGCTGCAAGCTGATTGGATCGAAGCAGGAGGAGTACTCCGAGACATTCCAATTTCGGAAGATTCGGAAAACAGATGAAAAAACAGACCCCAGAGAAACTGCAGGAGAGAAGTTTCTGCTGCTGATATGATATGAAATAGTAGTTACTATTTGCATTGATTGGCACGAAGCGGCGAAGTGTAGATTGCATTCATAATTTGTAAATCAGACTGCAAGTAGCAAAAGCCGCATCGTGTGGTTCATTCTAGAAAGCACGCTGTCTACACACCATAGATGCCACTCTGAGAATGAGTAAAACATGCTGCTTTTTCATTCATTCATTCATTCATCTTCCGTCGCCGCTTTCCCTTCCGGGTCGCGGAGGCAGACACGTCAGACAGAGCTTCCAACGTTCCCGATCCTGTGCCAGAGTCTGA